GAGTGTGACTACCTGGGTTAGTCCATGCCATTTTCTTGCAAGGTTTCTTGGAAGTGGCTTTTTCTTGATTTCTTCTTCGTAAGGCTGAGAGAGGGTGACTGATCTAAGATCATCCAGTTGGTTTTGTTTCAGTTTCTAGCCTGGAGCCTTAACAACTATCCTAAATTGGCTCCCAGTTGCTTTATAGAAGCTCCAAAAATGGACATGAAAGCAAGGATTCCCTCCTGCTGTTTTTTCTTCTCCAGCTTCTGATATTCAAAGCTCTGTACCATGGATTTCCTTTAGCTATCATGGCTAATCCACTTTGGCTTCTATGATTTTGTCTTCTTTAGCATAATCTCTTAAAGCTATTAAATCCCCTATCTTGGAGCATTTCTTTTATCTCTTCCAAATCTGTCACCAAATTCACTAAATGACTTGGATGAAAGAAGAGGATTTTTCTCTTCGTTATAAATTATCTTCCCTTTTTCCTATTCTGCGAATCACTTTTAATTTTTATTATACTGACACATATATGCAAATAATTATTAGCAGATAATCAATTGGGAGAGATGTATTTCTTTTATTGTTTAAAAACGTAATAACAATTGATAGTGTTACTTTTGTTTTTGCATACATTTAGTTATTCTTCAGTGAATATATGTTTTATTGGTATGTCGCTTGAGAGTGTGGTATTCATTGTGTGTCTAGAACTTGTAATATGTCTGCTAAACTCATTTCCCATGTAGAATCCTCAACTTAAAACATTTTAAAAATTGTTTTCAAGATTCTCCTCATTTCACCTCCAGCCATCAACTGCATTGAGTTTTTTTCCCTTACATGAAAGTACTTACAATTGACTAAAAGCATGAAGAAAGCCAGCGGACGTGGCATCAACAGGAAAGCTATTCAGAGTAGTAACAGACTCAACTTTTGAGCTTGAATTTTCTGCTACATCAAAGGTTAAAAGACAGAATTAACTGTTTATACCAAACTGCCTTTACAGCCATTTGCAGCTAGAGTAATTCGGTGAGACATGCACACAATACTTAAGAACAATCATCTCAGATTGAGGACTTGCAAAGGAAAGAGGCTACTCTGAGTTTCTACTGTGCATTAGGTTGGGAAAAGGACACTTTGAAAATGTTTCCCAGGGGAGATTTCTTTTTTTAAAAAAATATTTTATGGCTAGCCATAATGGCTATTAGGTTACCACCTGGATCAAAAGTGTCTTGCCTCTGAATTATCAGTTGCTGAGAAACAACGTTGAGAGACAGCTACTATGGGAACCGGACTGCTAAGCTAACATGTCCCAAAGGTGCTTTTTCAAAAGGCGATTGGACTGGGGTTTTTTTTTGCCCTTGAGGAAGAAGAAGGATCTTCTGGATTATTCTGGATAGAGAGGACCATTGGTCTGAAAGAGGGGTAAAAGAGGCCATTTATGTTAACACTGAGCAGCTCTCTCTCAACAGAGGGGGGAGAATAAGACACTACCTATCTCCTGTCTACAATGCAGCCCTTGCAGCAGTTCCAAGAAGATTTTACCCGCATTTGATTCAGGTGACCCTGAGATCAAAGCTAAACGCCCAAGCGGCCTCAAGAGTTCTCAGGGAGAGTGTTAACAACCAGATGACCGCAAAGAAATACAATCTTCCACTCCCTCCCTCCCTCTCCTTTCAGAACTAATCCTTCTATCACACCCACCATTCCCCCCAGAACCGAAGAAGCTTCTTGAATGAAGCTTCCTCAAAGGAAAAAAAAGTCAAGTTGCCGTTTGAAAAAGCCCTTATGGGACAACTATGACCTGGATGAATGAGGAGTTCCACAGACTCTAAGGCAGAACGGTCTGTGGCTTAATTTGGGAGAGTTCTTAAGGACTGCAATAACTTTACTATTGTTTGATGCAAGTGAAAATAGCTCTCTTGTCCTAATAATATTTTATTTTTCTAATTTTGTCTCCTTTAAAAATAAGGGGGGAAAACCATTGAAATTGGTAGGAGTTAAGTTGGCTTCCTTACTAAATAAGTGCACAAGGTTGAGTGTGTGTCTTTTTTCACTCTTTTTCATTTTGCACACACCCCTTCAAAAGCCTTATTAGGTTCTGGCATGCATTTCAATAAAATTCCAAAGAAAGAAATCAGAAGGAAATCTATCTCATTGGGCAGTCAGAGTAAACTATGGATATATATAAACAGAAAACACCACCAACTATTGTCTTCTCCATTACAGTATGTCATTTGATCAAGTACACTGAAAAGCATTGTAAAGAAATTCAAAAGAAAATACTCAAGCACTCTGAACAAAATGTATAAAAACAGAAATTTCTTTTACTGGGGGAAAGAAAAACATTTTTAGAAAACTGTTTAGAAAACTCATACAGACTTCACTGTGGCATTATAAAATGATAGCAAAATAAACATGGGTTTCTTTTAGGCAATAGGAAAAAAATAATTCAAATGGTTACTTCATGGAAATGATTAGATGGACGGATGTTTTTTATTCAAGCTAGTAAAGTTCATGGACTCAAATCTAATAGTGGTTTGGGCTTCTTTGTCTATCCATTGAATCATTGCTTTTATAAGGGAAAAAAATCACATTGGCACACACACACAAACACACACACACACACACAAGCCCAAAATTACAGTTATTTTGATTGCTATGAGAAGAAAGTAAGTCTCAAATAACCACTGTGCTGTGTCAGTGTTACCCATATCAAGCTATTCTGACATCAAAGTGACATCATCACAACTTCATTGCATCAATGGTTGCATCATTTCCATCAGTGCAGAATCATATACAAGTCACCATTTGCCTTCACCCCATCTGGGAAAGCTCATCGTACTATTTTATAAACATCTCAATCAAAAGCTGAGCTGTTAACAACTCTATTCCTGCTCCATACAATAAGTCTCCAGATCCTAGTCTCTGGAAGTCAAACTAGAAAAGGGTGAAGAAATAGTTATGTATTCCATAGACTTCCTGCCAAGTCTTTTTTTTTTTTTTTTGCAAGCTTCAAGAAACATCTTATTCTTCTGCTGATAGAAATGTATAGTTTAACTCAATACACTTTTCATTTGATGAAGAACATCTTGCTCACGAACCTATCTTTCATATGCTTTGCTTTGAATTGTAGCCATTATTAACATTCACCCAACACTCCATATTTTCTTTGTTCTTTTCTCTTTTTAATTCCAAGTGTTTGCATTCTCTCGCCAACGTGCTGGCAAAAACATATAAATGTCTAAGCCATAGGCCTTTGCTGCCCTGGGGTATAATTAAAGGAGCTTAACATATTAAGCACACATTTGAGTCATGGATTCCGGCACAATAATAGAGAACTCCTATGCCAATTTCGGCAGAAACATTTAAAAGGAGCAAAGGCATTCAAACCTCCAGAAGAGATGGAATTGACAAGCCAGCTCAATCTCAACTTTACAAATGCTTCTGGGCCCACTCCAGTTAGTACAGACAATAGCTTTTTAGAGTTGATTGTGCTGGCTGCCAAAAAAAGAGCAACTATGGCCTCTTAAACTCAACGTGGATGGCTGTACTTCTGTTTTAAAACTGCAATAGGACAGTCTATTGTTTTTAGTTCCAAGACAGGACACAACACTGAGAATAAAGCATCCAGGCATTTTTCCAAGTAAACATTTATGAGCAGCTCATCTTGACAGCTTTATAGAAATTGCTGAAAGTCAGATTGTTGGCTACCTTCAAATAAGGCAAGATCCCTCAGAATGCCTATGGGCACGAATACAGAGCAAAAGAGAGAAATTTGCAAAGCAAGATGAGAAATGATAAATAGGGCCTAGTTAACCTGGCGTATGGTGAGGAATGTGGGGAGATTTCATTTCTCATTTGAAGTGTCGCAATCTGTTATTGTTATTATGTTATATAATTATATATCCTGTACTTTATTCTAGTAATTCTGTGAAGTAACAGGCTATTAAAAAAAAAAAATAGCCTGATGGCCCAAATCATGTCATTACCTTCACAACAATGTGGGGGATTTGAAGCTGGTTTGGTCCACATTTATTATAATGCAAAAAAAGATCTATAAAATACGGCATACCGCAGACTGTATTTGTGTAGTTTAATTAATATCCCTTTTCTACCAAAAGCCCAAAGATGCATTTGAAACCATCACTTTTATCTTCCTGGAGATAGATTAAACTGAAAGCTTAGGATCATAGAATGCATTTTCAAATTAATTAGTGATCACGGTGAAGCAGTTTTTACTGATAGGAGAAACTGATGGGTCAGTTCCAATTGGATATGCCACGTGGTTTAACATGTTCTTATCTGTAAATTTGAAGTGATATTTGCGTTTACCTCTATTTTAAAAAAGCCAACTTTACATTTGCATCTAAATATGTAGATCAATGTATCTATCAACTTTCTAATTGTGTTAGTATGCCTTCCACTCCAGTTAGCAAGTGTCCAACAATAGAGCCTGTGCTACTAACCATAACTTTGTGCAACAAATTCCAATATGCAAAGCTTCATTACCAGTTGTTTTTTTGTCCCCAAAAGTAGTCCCAAGACATTTCTCCTATATTTTCAGTGCTTATTTTGCTTTAACTTCTCTTAGTTCAAACAGCTAATTGAATAAAATGGACTTTTTGCTCTCATACACATTTTTCATATAACCACTGAGAGCTAAATATATCTCAACAGAAATATAGGAGATGTTAACGTGTAACCATAGATCCTAAGTGCTGCACATGAACTAGGAAAAAAGAAATTCTCCAGTTAGATAAATATTAACCTAATGCTAATGGTATCATAAAGATGTGCTGGAACAAATATTGATAAACAGCTTCAGCAACACTACTCTTACAATACCTGAACTGTAATGCAAAACAACCTAATTGTTCACCAAACAATTCATCTTTCAGAGGGACTGAAATAATTGTTTGGAAAGAAAGCTTGCTCAAATACAAATCTGGAAATGCAAAAGCAAGGAGGAATAAAATGCTTTGTGAAGAAATGTGGAAATCTCTTTCTGTCATACATACCTACAAGAGACATTTCTGGAACAGTCGCATGATATGGGCCATCTACAAATTCTGGTGGGTTGTCATTGATATCTTGGACCTTAATAATGAATTCCGAAGGAGGCTCCAGTGGTTTGTTTGTATCCCTATCGATTGCCTGAGCAGTCAACGTGTACTCTGCTTTTTCTTCCCGGTCAAGTCTTTTCATAGCGTGGATGTCTCCTGTCTTGTCATTGATCACGAAGATAGTCCCAGCACCATCACCTGACAAGATGTACTTGATCTTGCTACTTCCTGGATCCAAATCCGTGTGTAGCTGAAATTATAAATAAGCAATTTGTTTATTGCACTCCTTCAGCTACCCATCTTTCTCCCATCCCCACTGCATATAAGATAAGATAGATAAGATAACCTTTATTATCATTTTTTTTTTACTGTGGGCACCATGGCACACGTCAAAAATGAAATTTAGTTGCCCACTCTCAAAGTGAAACACATATGTGACACACAACTAAACATACTATATACAACATATGTATGGACCCACACTCCTTCATATATAGAACAAATAAATATTAAACACTGTCCATTTTGAATATATAATGGAAGGAGGAAGCTTGAGAGTTCACAAGGTTTATACTGTATAGAATGAAACTATGGCTGAATCTGGATATTCTGCTTTGGATACCACGAAGCCTCCTCCCAGAAGGTAACAAGGAAAACAGGTCGTGAAGAGGATGGGTAGTGTCCCAGATGATCTTACAGACCCTGCTCAAGCAGCGCTTCTGTGCTATGTCCTGGATGGGAGGGAGGGAACTGCCAATGATCTTTTCTGCTGTCCTCACCACTCTCTACACTGCCTTCCTGTCTGAAGCAGGGATGCTTCCAAACCAGACTGTGATGCTGTTTTGGTATTTTCATCTCGGATCTCTTGAACAGTCTTAAAATCCACAATTGACAAAATTTGCATGCATGCTGAAAGTAATCGTACATATGTTTCTACAAAGGTTTAAATCGCTCTGTTTAGTCCAACCAACTGTTCTATAAATGTCTTCTGTTAGTCCTTGGAAATAAGCAAAATTTCTAAGCACCTCTAATGGAAGTATAAAACTATAAGAAAGTAGTATTCATTAATAACTTTGTTACTCAGACATTTACATGGGAAAGTTTTGAGTTTCAGGTTTTTTGGGGGGAGGGAAGGATTATATCTGAAGACATTCAGATTTGATCTTATTTGTTTTGCTTAATTTGCAGTCCTGGCAAAAGGTTATTTAATCTAATGATGGTATTTAGAATAACAAGGAAAGACAGAAGTATTATTTCTGACGAACCGCCAAACTGAAAATCAGCTAAGATAGGATTCTTTGTGAGTATGCTGCTTGAATAATAAGTTACTCTCTGTTCTCTGGATATTATATATTTTCATTGGAATTGTGATTAATCACTTTTCAAGTACTTTCCGCAGCTTGAGGATTTACTCATCTCTGCAAAGCGGTCTTTTGATTTTCTAGCAGCACACTGTAGATTTCACAGCAGCTTATATATTATTACATATGAGGACCATTATGTCATGTTTTCCCACCACTGACTCTCTTCTTGTTCTCACAAGGATACAGACACAAACAGAAACACTAAATAAAGCTACCTCTTTGCATCACCAATAAATGAAATCTGCTTCTATTTAATGATTCCAAAATAATAACAGCATTATAAATATATGGAGATATTAAAAGTCTAGCTAGTCAGTCTGGTTGAAATACCTTTTCTTTCTTCACTGGAAAAGCTATGTAGGCTATACAGATACAGGAGCTTCACACTGCTGACCCCTGGTTTTAGGTGTTGCTAAATTCTTCAATGTATGTCATGATAATTCTAGAGAAGCTTATTAAATTTAAGCATATTTATCTTGTTTACTCACAAACAGCCACCTGAAATGTGAGATATTAGATAACAGCAGAAAGAAAACCCAGCTTTTCAAAAAATAAAAATAAAAATAAAAAATAAAATAAAATAAATTTTCACTTTTCCTGCTGGAGATCTAAACACAAGCTAATCTATTAATTCATTTCTTCCTTAATGTTAGTAATTCACTAAGACAGTAATTATTTTCTCCTGTTAAAATCAATAATACATGTGGCAAAGAAATTAAATGCATTATCAATGCAGCTATTTGAAATTCCCATGTGATTTTTTTAAAAAAAATAATAAATTAATTATAATAAAAATTATAAAACCCTTTTTAGGAATGATTCAAAATCTATGTCACTTTTCCCATTTTTTTTAAAAGTCATTAAATGCGCTAATTTTATCTCCTAAGATGTAATTTCTTAAGTATCATAAAATATGTATGAGGATGTAAAGTCATTGTTAGGATTCAAAATTCTTTTCTCATGTCAAAGTTAAAGATAATTAGGTTCATAATTATGTGGGCCCACAATGAACAATAGACAAAGAACCTAGGATGAATTTCCACTTCTGCTATGGTGGTGATATACACTTTTTTTTAAAAAATGTACCTATTATTTGTATCTATAGCAGTGGTGGCGAGCCTATGGCACGGGTGCCACAGGTAGCACGCAGAGCCCTCTCTGTGGGCACAAGCGCCGTCGCCCCAGTCCTAGGCCTTCAGCTGGGTTTTATAAAACCTTTTCACTTTAGGCCTCTGGTGCCGTGTGCAAAAAAAAAAAAGTTTCAATCAGTCAATTTCAACTTCTCGTGGGAAAAAAAAGATCTTGCAAAGTTGGAATTGATTGGTTGAACTTTTTAGTCCCACCCAGCCTGCCGTTACTACCGCAGCCATGCCCAGCCAATGTGCCACACCCAGCCAATGGGCCACACCCACTCAGCACTCGATGATGCATAAGTGGGTTTTGTGTTGCAGTTTGGGCACCCAGTCTCTGAAAGGTTCGCCATCATTGATCTATAGCATTATCTTCGGGTCCTAAACCATGTCTCCAACAAAAGTATCTAAGGCAAACATGTCACACACAAGGCCCGGGGGCTGGATGCGGCCCACGAAGTAGTTTTATGTGGCCCGCGAAGCCATCCTGGAAAAAGTGAAGGAACGGCCCCCTCCGCCTTGGCCCTGGCCAGGAGCCAATGTACAATTTTGTGGTGGCCATCTATGCTGAAACACATTCAGTCTTAGCTCCATAAGCCCCTCCCCCACATAGCCTGAGAGGAACAGTGAGGCTCTCCCAGTGGACCATGTCTTGGCACTTGCCCTGGTCCCACCCCCTTCTGCCAGAGACTCTCAGATCTATCTCATTCCTGCCCAGGCACCCTTGACGCGAACGATGTAGAGCTGGCCATGCCCACCCAGTAGGTCACACCCACTCTGGCCACACCCCACTCTGGCCACACACACCCCCCCGAGGGCAATCGCAATGCTGATGTGGCCGTCAGTGAAATTGAGTTTGACACCCCTGACTTAAGGTTGTTATATGGGGTGGGTTATGAATTAAATGCTCATCATGTTAATACAAATAAGTACTGGAGTTTGTAAACCTACAATCTGGATGTGTGCCTGGTTTCCTGCACTGAACAGAGGATTGAATTGGAGTTACACAGCTCCTTCTTCCTCTGTGTTGCTAGGACTGACCTAATTATACCCTAGGAGAAATTCATACGAGCAACCTTTCAGAAGGATCCTTTATGTTACATGAATGCAGCTGGAGAACAAGCTGTCCATTTGTAACCATATTTCTGTCTCCTAATCCATTTCTGAAAATGTGATTCCTGTGGTTCTCTCATTTCTTTCAAAAAGGCCAAATGACTAACTGCAGTGGGCCTCATGATTCAACCATTCCACTTTTATTTTGAAAATCTCTGTGCACTGTTGGACAAAAGGATGAAGCCTCCTCAATTAAAAAAGAAATTTGCACTCCTCCTAAACGGAATTTATTTTCCTCTTCTGTGTTAATGCTGAAATAACGAGAGTAAAACTGCAACAAATATTGTTATGTTCGAGAAGGTCTTCAAATTGCATGATGTGGTTTACAATTTCTATAAGTTTATGTAATATGTAAGCATGTCAGGCCAACATGGGATTAATTATAATCTGCATTTTTTCTCTTTTTGCTTTGGCTTGGTTAATTTTATTTTGTGGAGTGTTGTGGGGGGGTAGTTTGATCTGCTTTGTCTTTTTTTTTTTTAGTCAGTTTTGCACTCTGTAGTTCTGCAATTCCATTTTGCAAAATAAAAATAAACAAATAGGCATGTTCAGGTTTTGAGTTATAGCTATCAGTATCCTGCTTCATTACTGACCAAATCAAATAGGCCAAATGAAAGAGTATAAATCCAGAAATCCTAGCTTAACTTGGATGCCAAGCACAGAAGCATAGTTATGAATTCAGATATCAGTGGTAGGATTCAGTACCTAGGACAGCAATTTTGCAAATTGAGGTAAAGGAAGAAGTGATGGTAACAATTGTTGAGCATCACCAATGAATGAAATTTCTCAGGACAGATATGTTTGTTATGTCAACAACCTGCAGTCCCCTAGGTCTAAGGCTGAGAAGCACAAGGCTAAATATGTGTTAAAACACTAACAAAAGAAAAAAAAATGCCTTAAATAAACTGCCATGTGTATAAGGAGGTCCCATATTTTATGATGAGAGAGCAATCAACTCCATAAAGCATTCTAGCATACAATAAAGATTAGCATCAAGTCATGCCATGTCAAACTGCCAAGTTTGAGCTCTAAAGCTTTTAAAGACTATCAGAGTTTAAAGTTTGGTCCAGAGAAGTTGCGTATTTTGTTTTAACAATGGTTTGAATGGCACATGTTCAAAGCTGTGAACAGTACAATCACATCATCCAGACAATTTCTGACAAAATTACAAGACTTAAATGTGGCTCCTGATGAAATCATGGTCTCCTTAGATGTAATCTCCCTATTTACATCCATCCCCACCCCCAGACTAGCATATGAAATAAAAAATTAGAATACAAGACAGATGAGAACAACCTAAACAGAATGCAAATCATGAAGCTACTTCAATGCTTCCAACATACCTTCTTCACATTCAGAAGAGAAGGGAATAAGTTCTATACAAAAACAATATTCAAGATCAGTTATGATCAATACTTCAAAGATCTACTAGCTCATATTCAATTTATGATATAATCTTAACAGGATAAATTATACAGCCAAACATCTTATTACTGTCACTTAGATAAACAAATCAAAAACCCGAAAGCAGCAATAATCCATTTTTACTAGTTTTTCAAGTGGTAATAAGCCAGGATAAAAACAGTAGTAGCTTCCAGTTTCTTGAAGTTTTATGACAATGCTTATCTATTCATTGGTGCTTA